CAAGTCTCAGTGTTGCAAGCCTGATGAGTTTTTGAGGTGCACGTCTGAGTCAAGTAATGACTCTCTGAGGTGTGAGTCTGGGTCAGGTAGTGAATCTCTGAGGGGTGAGTCTGGGTAGAGTCACAAGTCTCTGTGGTGCAGGTCTAAGTCGAGTCTCTGAGATTTGAGTCTGAATCAAGTCGTGAGTCTCCGAGGGGCGAGTCCTGGGCGAGTCCTGGTCGAGTCACAAGTCTCTGAGGTGTGAATACGAGTCTAGCCTTGAGTCATCTGAGATAAGAGTCCAAGTCTAGTAGTGAGTCTCTGAGGTGCAAGTCTAGGTCAAGTCTCTGAGGTGTCAGTCCAAGTCAAGTAGCGAGACTCTGAGGTGTGAGTCCGAGTCAAGTCTCTGAGGGGCGAGTCTGAGTCAAGTCTCGAGTCTCTAAGGTGCAAGTCCAAGTCAAGTCTCAAGTCTCTGTTGTGAGTGTCTGTGTTGAGACTCAAGTCTCTGAAGTCAAACCCGAGTCAAGACTCGAGTCTCTGGGTTCGAGTCTGAGTTGAGTCTAGAGTCCGAGTCAAGCCTTGAGTCATTGGAGTTTGAGTCCGAGTCGGGTCTTTAGTGGAGAATTTATGTCTCTTTATTAGCTGCACCTGTCAGGTTCTACATGGCTTCAAACAGCGAACCTCTCATAGAAAAATCTTCAGTCTGAAGAATAGAACTGAAGTGCTTCACTCAGGAACATACTGCTGACCACTTTTACTGCATGTATTGCATTGTTTCAGTCTGTCCTTCAAACTGATGGTTTTCAAAGGCTTATTATTTGCTTTTTCCCAAAAAATAAGTTGGACTGAAATATCAGCAAGTTACTCAACAATTATTGCAGCTAGTTCACTTATTAAACAGGCAAACAAACAAAAAAATGAGTGGAAAAAAGAGCATTTTGAGTTTGAGAGTGAATACAGTTGCAAATCTAATAAATTCACTACAATATCCGTAATGAAATGCTTTTAATCCCCACCACTACATGACTGTAGTAAAAGTGAAAGGCAATCTCAAGTGTAAAGTTGGAAACAAAAGGTTTTATTAATTTCTTGCATTATGACTAACAGTCCTAATGCAGTTGATTTTGTTCAGGCATTTTTTTCTCTAGCCAAAATTTCGAGAGTTGTAAGTTTTGAGTTCAAGTCCAGTCACAAGTCAGTCAAGCGCATCCAAGTCACTGATCTGCACACAACAAGAACAATTAATCAAATGCATGTGAAAATATCTCTTCTACTTACACTAACAAGATATTGATTAATAGTTTAGAATCCACACTTTCCACATGTTTCAACAAACTATGATTAATAAATAATTAATATTGAATTATGCCATGCTTTTTTAAGATTTTTGTCGGTAACTGTGACTTCTAGAGGTTAAGTTTCATTTCTTCATGATGCCTGAACGTCTTTAGGATACTGTTTGGCGCTGGCTTTCCCTGACTGCTTCTAACTCAGGCCACTCTAAAGCACATGAAGTCTCATTCCACTCAGAGTTTCCAGAGTGCGGAAGCATCTCAAAGCTTTGCAACATTTTCCATGTGGTTTTGCAGCCTACACTGTTAGCAAAAAGGGTTCTGTGCAGTAATGCTTGTAACAATAGCAGAACATTTTTGGGTGTTATATAGAACCATTTTTAAATAAAAGGTTCTTTATTTAACCATATACAATATACTTTCTATCATAGATAAGAACCATTTAACCATGCATGTAGTCATTTATGCATTCAAATGATTCTTTGATTTGTCATGGTTCTATAACCACTGCTTTCACTAAAGAACCCTAGAAGAACCACTTTTTAAGGGTGTAATTTTACATGCAAAATTTCATCAAAATTTTGAAACACCTGACTTTTAAAATGTTTGTAATGCAGTGTTTTCTTTGTCAGTTTGCAATAACGTAACATATTTAGTTTACAAGTTTAGTTACAGCTGAAAGAAGTAACAATACTGAGTCTACAATTTAGAAGTCAGAGATTGCGTGCCTTTATTTAGGAAACAACATCACATGCTCAGGGTCAAAAAGAAGGTCCCAGCTCTATTTTGAGCTCTCAATTGTCAATAAAATCAACATTCTACTGATGAAGGTACAATAACAACAGTCCTTCTTTGGGTTCTATCTGAAATGTCGTTCAATGCACTCTCAATCTTCAGATTTATCTGCTCAGGGAAGAGGTCTGAAGCACAACCCATGTTACAAAATGTTCTTTCACACATTGTATGCAATTACACGTTGGCACCAGAGAGGTCTCCAAATCCCTCAAACCTACACAGTGTAGCTTTAAGCAGAAAGCTGTTTAGATATGGTTATTTTTCTGCAAACCTGAAGGAACAATTGTCCAAAGTCCTATGTTGAGAATAAAACCATAATACACACATTTTACCCCCTTGTTGTGATGTCAGCACTCATTAGCACTCAGGCTATTTTTTTTCAATATGAGCTTTAAACATTAATTTTGAAAATAAATCATTATTTAGGCAAAACCTGCTCTTCCTACCAAGGAAGACACATTAATGAACATGAAGCTAAATGCTGCAAAATATACCTAAAATATAAGAAGTATTAGCGAACAGCTGTTTTGTGTCAACAAAGCCTTTGCGGATATTTTTTCTTACTTAATTAAAAAAGTAAGAGTAAAAATGAATCATTAATCACAAAATTTCAAAAGAAGGCAAACTTTTGATGGGCAGCACTTCTGAAATGAAGGAGCCAAAGCAGCAGATTCTCCTCACTATTGTTATAGAAAACAGATATGAGGCACTTATGTAACAGTCATATTGTTTCCACTGGCCATTAGTTATGATCAATGCATTCTGGGAAATGAACATGTACAGTAGCAGCAGACAAAAAGAGTGATAAGAACTTGAACCTTCTCCAGCTGTTTCAATTTTCCCATGCCACTTCAATGCAGCTCAGCGGGGAATGGGGTGCAGTCGCAATACTGTGCCATTCATTTGCAATTCGGTCTGATGTGCTCTAATGTGACAGATTGTGTGCTTAAAATGCAGTGATCATACAGTCTGAAGTATGATAATGACCGAGCAGAAGATGTAAAACGCAATGATACGGAGAAGGGAAATAATCATGGAATTTTTCATTGTGCTCTCTTTTGCCGTGGAGCTTTCACAGAGCTGTCTGGTGTCATTTGTTTCAGTTTGCACTGAATGTGCGGTTGTCAAACGCGATTGGCTCTGCCGCTGCAGCCTTGGCCTCCAAGAGCCATCGACAGTAAATTGTATTAGGGCCCTGAGTTATTCGGTTATTATAATGGCACTTGAAGTCTACAATACCTTCCACCGCTTTCAACCAGACAATTAGAATCAGCATTAATGGCCACTGTCCCAGCATTAGTGGTGCAGGAAACGTAAGGAACATCACAAAGAGCTGATGGACTGGTCAGTCAATGTGTCACTCAGCACAGTTTGTCAAGCAAATTTCCCTAGTCCTGGTCTGCATTTGGTTCCCTAAAGAAACTTTCATGGATCGTTTCCTGAAAGAGCCACTTTCGTAAATAAAATATGTGATTGCAAAGAACCTGTTTACAGTTTAAAGAACCTGTCTGGCTGTGTCTTTAAGGAACACTTGCAACAGGTCTGAACATTATCAACTGCACTAATTTGGCATGGCTAAAACAGCAAACCTCTTCTGAAAGAAACTAGAGTCCAGTTTGGGATTGCCCCCCCGTGTGGTCTGTAAAAGCAGGCCACCATCTTCAATATCAAAAGATGTGTAAATAGCAATATTTGAACATCAGAAGCATGAAGATGTACTGGTGCATATGTTCATAGAGTCAAAATAGCCATTAAGTTTTGGCTTAACAAACATTTAGTAATTCATTTTTCAGGAGATATTTCTGAGGAGATCAGATATGTAAGAGTCCACTTGCAAAAGGAAGGAAGAGAGTCAAAGGAAGATAAGTACAAATAAATAAGTAAATAAATAAATACAATTTTAAAAGGTGAGAAGTTCCAAAACTCCTTTAAAATAGTCCTAAAAGATTTAGAGAAAATCGGGCTTCTAACATCTTTGCAAGACGTGGCAGACCACCAGAACTGCCACTGTCAGATGAACAGCAAGCTCCACTCTTGCTTAGATCTGAAAAAATCCACAGGTGTTTGTGCCCATCAGTGGGAACACAACCCAACACTATGAGTCTGAAAGGATGTGTAGCTGTCAAGAAGCTTTAACTTAGAAAAGGAAATAGACAAAGAAGAAAGTTTGGAAATCAAACAAAGAAGCTGCTGGTGTTCTCAGAACAATGGACTGACCACCCCAGAGTCCAGACCTCAACATCATTGAACGTGGTTTGAATTAGTTGGATTGTGAGAAGCAGTAAGTGCAACCAAGTTCTAAGACTGAACTTCAGAGGTGTGGAAAAAAGTTTTACCAAAAAAAAAAAATGAAAGCTATAATTAAGACAAAAGAGGGACAAACTAAATACTGAAAAATATTAAAGTGACATTGACAGCTAACAAGTAACAGCACCAAACACCACAACAAGTCCCTCTGTTGGAGGGCATGCACTACCATGAGCCTTTGCGTGTGGCCATCTGCTAAGCCATACCTCCAGAGTCTATTAGTGACAGCGCCAGCCAGTAGCACAACACTACAATATTATATTTAGGGGTTGAGGCTTATGTGCATTTTCTATTACATATATGTTTTTTTTTCTTGCGCTGAGCTTGTACTTATGTACATGAACTTAATGGCTGACTGGAAATTAAATAAATATGAAGGGTGGTCTCTGACTTTTGCACAGACCTGCCTACATTATAAGTATTGTATTTTGGAGCTGTAATAAATCTCATTAAGGGTGCATAGTTTTGTGGTCTGAATAGAAATTGTGCATTTTAAACTGTTCATTCTATTCTTGTATTTGTCTCAGCTTTCATCATAATACTAAAAGCTTCTTCATTTGTTAGCAACTGGTACAAGATTTGGCTAGAGCATCCCTTTGATGTTCCCGTTTGTGTTGTTCTTTGCAGATGACCCAAGAACAGTGCACTCATAGGAACAATGTCCAGAGCACCGAGAAACCGCATGTGTACAAAGTGGGCATCTATGGCTGGCGGAAACGTTGCCTTTACTTCTTCGTCCTCCTCCTCATGATCCTCATCCTGGTCAACCTTGCACTCACCATCTGGATCCTGAAGGTCATGAACTTCACCATAGTAAGTGCTGTTTACCCGCTCCACCCACCCCCCACCTGATGAACTTTGCTACTGCACAGGAAACATTGATTCTTTGACTGGCTTAGGAGTACGAGGGAAATAATGGGCGCTCTCGCAGCAGGGGTCCTCCAATCATGGCTCTGTAATTGCCGGCCACGGCTAGGCAGAATGCCGCTTTCATTTGGCTCACAGTGGTCAATCCGTTTCCCGCGTTAGCGTGGAGCTGCCTCTGACTTGATTTGCTCAACCCCACTGGCCCGCTTCCTCTCCCACCCTCTGCGCAGTTACCGAGCCTTTGAAACTCCTTCCACTGCGCTCTGGGTCTTTGATTAATTGCGGCATACTCATGTGGAGGCTATGCTAATATTTAAGGGTCAGATTTTCAGCTGTTCTAGGGGCTCTATAGCTCTCTAATGCCATTGTGTCTCACCTTTTGTGGAAGCTTTTATTCACTGGGTTGCTTTTCAGGTGATTTCAATTTGGAGTTACTAGCACTCTACCCTCCATGCTGTGTGGATTTGCTCATACTGTGGGTGTACTACAGCAGAAAGAATGACTGTGGTGAAAACGTTCATTATATATAACGTGTGCATTTAGCACAAGTATAATTTCTTTTTTTGGGTTTTTTTTTATTTATCAAAGATGTTCACAAGTCCTTTTGTGCAAGTCTAGGTCAAGTCTCGATTCATTGGGGTTAGAGTTTGATTCCTTTCGTTAGTCACTAGGGTCCAAGTTTAAAGGGGGTTTATGTCAGAATCAAGTTGCAAGTTACTGGGGTTCAAATCCGAGTCCCGAGTAACTGGGGTTTGAGTCTGAGTTGAGTCTTGAGCCATTGGGGTTCAGGTTGTGAGTCACTGGGGTCCAAGTCCAGGTTGTCAGTCACTGGGGTTCAAGATAAGGGTCAAGTCATGAGTCACTGAGGTGTGAGCTGAGTCTTGAGTCTTTAGTAAACAATTTTAGTTTAGTCTTGTCATCTGAAGGCATTGCATTGTACAAGACCTGTACCAAAAACGTTTCAGGTTCAACACAGTTTGAAAAAAAAACAACCTGTTGTTATTGAAAAGCCTTCAGTCTAAAGGACAGAACTGAAGTGTTAGTATGTTTAAAGGAGAGAGGCTAAACAACTTGAAATGACTGGTTAGTATGTAGTTTGTATAGCAAGTACGCTAGCTAGCATATTTGCTATCCAAATTACATGTTAGCCAGCTGTTTCTAGTTGCTTCTTTTCTTTCAACACCAGTTTTACTGCTTGCAGAACTTCATTCTGTCCATCAGACTAAGGTTTTTGTTAATGTTGGTGACCATAATTTAATCAGTTTTGTTTCAGTTTTGTCATTTTTTTTCTCTAAAGCTGAAATTTCATAAGTCTAAATTAATGAGTCACGAGTCAGTTAAGCGTATGGTTGCAACCTCAGCACTGTAAAATTCAGAGTCACAGACTTGAGTCCTCATCTCTGATTTTCATACATGAAATAAACAAGACAGTCAGCAGGTATACCTACAAGCAACATAATCCACAGCAGCAATAAGACAGTGGACAGAAAGAGTGACATGAGCTGAAGCAGGACTATATTAAAGACTGGGCTCTAAACACACAAACGAATAAATAAGCATGGGGTTTTGCAATGTGCATGTCCTTGCTTTATGTATGTGAACATAACTCATGTGAGAGGTCTTGGATTACAAATTGGCTGCAAGGGCAGAGTTAGATGCAAGCTGGCATCTGCATGAACACAACCTTTTCTTGTGAGGACACATCAGATGGCACATGGTGACCAAAAATGCCCGCAGCAATCTTTTCCATGAGAGAATTTTATTTCTCTTTAAGTGTTATGTGCAGACTGTCAGTTCTATTTCAGTGCCAGCCCCCAAACCCCTCCCAAAAAAAAAAACTCTGGATCACACCATATATGCAGAAGTGGTGCCTTGCAATGCTGTCAGAAATTACAATGTCCTTCGTTATGCTGTGGTAGCTATGCACATCTTACTTTCCTTGCTTTCCCTGCCACAGAGGTCCCCATTTTCATATGAAAAACCACTGGGTTCCTCTGGAAGGAGGACTGAATGAAGGGCAGCAGGTGCGCAGGGGAGTCATGTAGATCAGGTCTGTGGAATGCACAGATGCAGATGAGCAGCTGGAGGGTTTTTTCAGATTTATGTCACCTAAAATTGCCCACTAGCACCTCAGTGTGGGCCGGTATGTCAAGGCTGAAGAAGGGATGAAATATTTAATGTCCTCTGATGCCACAGGACTATGAAATACCAGTAGTTGAGCTGGAAGAGGCATCATGGGATGCGTGCTGGAGCAGAAGGCTGAATATATCTCTTTCCTTCAGCCCCACTGACCATGATGTAATATTCACACTCTGTTTTGGAACAAGGATAACAGGACTCTCTGACGGTTCTCAATTCCTTTACACAGCTATTTGGCAGTGCATGCTCCTTATTCATGTTTAATTGTGCATGTTTAATATTCTAAAGTGTGTATTTTGACAAGCCTGAACTCAGCGGTTTGTTACGTCAGGACTGAAGCTGCTAATTGATTTATTTGGCTCTGCCCAATGCTGCAATATTTGGCAAGGATCAGTTCAGGATGACTCTCATATTAAGAGGGAATGCTACACTCTTAAAAATAAGGTACCAAAAGGTTTGCTATAGAAGAACCATTTTAAGTTTTCTAAAAAAGCTTTCAGTGGTTGATACTTTAAAAAGCTCACCTGAAATGTTCTTTAAGGAACCAGAGTGTAGCAAAGAAAAATCACTGGCCACTTTATTAGGTACCTACCTTGTATTTACATTCATTATACATTTTATCAGCTCCACTTACCATAGAGGTGCACTTTGTAGTTTGTAGTAGTTCCATATTGCACCCTAGCTACCGTTTACCCTGTTCATCAGTGGTCAGGATCTCTACTGGACCACCACTGAGCAGGCATTATTTGGGAGGAAAACCATTTTTAGCACTGCAGCAATATTGATACTGATATGTCAGTGGCATGTGAATGTGTGCCACACTGGTACAAGTGGGTCAGATTCAGCAGTGTTGCTGAAACAGTGGCAAACTGACTATTAGAGTTAGGCCTTCAGTTTGTGCCACAAATGTTAAAACTTGTTCAAAAAACAAGAAAAACAGCTGCCCTTAATACTCATACTCATTTATGCTAGCGTCCCTATGGGATACTGGTAGTTTGTTAGCAAGACACTAACAGTTATTCACATGAACTAGATTAAATGCAGGCATCTGGAGCTTTTCTTGTTTTATTTGAAGCTTGTAACAAAAATATTCATATATATTTTATCTTGTTGCAGTTTTACAGCATTACAGACTCTTGATTCCACTGTTGCTTGCCAATTATGTTATTGGATAATTTGAGATGTTAAGCCTTCTCTGAGTCTGGGTGGTTATTAAACACTGTGTTCACTTATTGTCTACTATATCAGAAACACTTACCTTGTGGTTCCCACTTGTAGATATAGTGAAGTTAGTGACGTTAGCTCACCTGTTGCTGCACAGTTTGTTAGTTGTCCACAACCCTGGTCCAGGAGATCGGCTGTCCTGCAGAATCTAGTTCCAACCACAGTCCATACCCGCTCCAGCTAATTAACGTCTTCAGATGACCTTGATTGGCTTGATGAGATATATCCGAGTTAGTTAGGAGTTGGGATCAACATGTTATAGATGCAAGGTGGAACAAAACTCTGAAGGACAGTAAATCTCCAGAAGGATGGTTGGTGACCTCTGCTCTAGTCCTTCATCCATGGTTGGTTTCTGGCCAAAGGATGCTGAGAATGATCCACCACCCAAATACCTGGGTAAACAGAGTAAAGGAGCACTGAAAGATTATGCAGAAAAACCACAAAATGCACCTCTATAGTAAGTGGATCTGATAAAAATGGACAATGAGTGTAGATAAAAGGTAGGTATAGCTAATAAAGTGGCCAGTGAGTGTACATACTGAAACAGGTCCTTTTCCTCTACATTCACCTGGAGGCAGTGCTTTCCAAGATAAACAGTTACCCTAGTGTCATGTTGTAGAATAGTTCTGACTAGATTCCTGGGTTCTGGCAGCTCTATTTATATCAATAAGAGAGCTGTTAGCTCGTGCTGCCCAATCTTGTTCAAGTACCACCTCCTTGATACCCTCACAAGCCATTATGGAAATGTATGTCACAAGTAACTAGGTGGCTGTGGAAGAATCGCACTAGCAGCTTGTCACAAGGGCTTTGTATAAGCCATGGGTCAAGTGTGAACTCAAGTCAGCAGTGCACGCTAACACAAACAAACGTGTGCGCGCACACATGCACACCAGGCCCAGAGCAAGCCTCACACCAGAATTAATTGAACTCACAGGGAGGTGACAATAAGTGTCAGTTCAAAGGCTGGTGTGTGGAGCCTCTAAATGACAGTGCTGGGGAGGTTTTCTGCAGCAACCCCGAAGGCGCTCCCTTCAAGAGGGTTTAGAAAGCTGAGCTTTCACAGACCTGGCTGGCATAGAGGATGGCTGTGGGAATTAGCATGGTGCTGAAGTGCCTCAGCACTCTATGGTTAGCGGGGCTAAACGGCCTTGTCAATTTGCAGACGTTGCAATAAACATTTTCCTCTGCTAACGTTTTCTGACAAAAGGGAAGGCATGTTGTCAGATCAGCTCTCGCTTTATTAGCGGGAGCGCTTTTCATGCAATATTGACATATGCCAGAAGCATGTTTAGTTAATCGCGCTAGATGTGTCACTACCATTGCACTCCCTCCAATATGCATGAAAGCCTGCCACCTCCTCTTTCTCAAGCACAAGTGAAGTGCTTTGTTGAGTGCCTCATCACGCTTGGAGGAGAATGCTAATTGGTTGAGTCTGCCATGCAAGCGTAAACACGTCTAATTGGCTGGTAGCTAATGATGAGTGAAAGATCAACCCTGCTATGCTTTCCTTCTTCTGAGAAAGATCCTGGTTTTGCTCAGAAAGGAAAAGGACTATTGACTGTTTAACTAGGATGGCACTAAGG